CGGACAAAGTCGCTTTGATCCGTTCTGAGCTGGACGCCATGTTAAAGGCAGTCTCTGTGGATGTGACACGAGCACCTGCTTGTCCTATTTTGTTGGATTCTTTTCAGTTTGTGAAACCCGAGGATGTGGACAAGATACTTGGAGGAATGAGGCCTACCACGTCCATCCTAGACCCCTGCCCATCCTGGCTTCTGAAGGAGGCCAGAGGGGGATTGGCTGAGTGGGTAACGGTGGTGGTTAATGCCTCCCTTCGGGAAGGCAAGATTCCAGCATGCTTAAAACAAGCAATTATAAAACCGCTGTTGAAGAAACCATCACTGGACCCCACTAAATTTGACAACTTTCGGCCTGTTTCCAATCTCCCCTTTTTGGGCAAAGTCAGGGAAAGCGTGGTGGCCTCACAACTCCAGGTATTCTTGAGAGACACGGATTATCTGGATCCGGCACAGTCTGGTTTCAGACCGGGACATGGTACCGAGACGGTCTTGGTCGCCTTAGTGGATGATCTGCGCCGGGAGCTAGACAGGGGGAGGGTGTCCCTGTTGGTGCTCCTGGACCTCTCAGCGGCCTTCGATACCGTCGACCACGGTATCCTTCTGGGGCGCCTTGCGGAAATGGGTCTTGGGGGCACTGCTCTGCAGTGGCTCCAGTCATTTCTGGAGGGTCGTACCCAGAAGGTGTTATTGGGGGACTGCTGTTCAACACCACAGCCTTTGACCTGTGGGGTTCCACAGGGTTCTATACTGTCCCCCATGCTGTTTAATATCTACATGAAGCCGCTGGGTGAGATCATCCGGAGTTTCGGGGTGCGGTGTCATCTGTACGCAGATGCTGTCCAACTCTGTCACTCCTTTCCACCTGCTACTAAGGAGGCTGTCGAGGTCCTGAACCGGTGCCTGGCCGCTGTAATGGTCTGGATGAGGGCGAACAAACTGAAATTAAATCCAGACAAGACAGAGGTAGTCCTGGTCAGTCGCAAGGCCGAACAGGGTATAGGGTTACAGCCTGTGCTGGATGGGGTCGCACTCCCCTTGAAGGCGCAGGTTCGCAGCTTGGGTGTGACCCTGGACTCATCGTTGAGCCTGGATCCCCAGGTTTCAGCGGTGACCAGGGGAGCATTTGCACAGCTTCGGCTTGTGCGCCAGCTGCGCCCGTATCTTGGGAAGTCTGACTTGGCCACGGTGGTACATGCTCTGGTCACATCCCGTCTCGACTACTGCAACGCTCTCTACGTGGGGCTGCCCTTGAAGACGGCCCGGAAGCTGCAGCTAGTCCAGCGCGCGGCAGCCATGTTACTAACGGGAGCGGGACGCAGGGAGCACACAACGCCCTTGTTGTCCCAGCTCCACTGGCTGCCGATTTGCTACCGGGCCCAATTCAAGGTGCTGGTGTTATCCTACAAAGCCCTAAACGGTTCCGGCCCAAAATACCTTTCGGACCGCATCTCGGCCTATGAGCCCACGAGGGCCTTGAGATCATCTGGGGAGGCCCTTCTCTCGATCCCGCCCGCCTCACAGGCACGTCTGGCGGGGACGAGAGAGAGGGCCTTCTCGGTGGTGGCCCCCCGGCTGTGGAACACCCTCCCTGTTGACATCAGACAGGCGCCCTCCCTTATGGCCTTCCGTAGGGGCCTAAAAACCTGGCTATTCGGGAAGGCATTTGATTGAGACCCACACGAATCTGGTAATGACATCTGGAATGGACCTTGGATTATGAGATTGGCTATGTTCTCTATGTTGTGATGGCGCGGATTTATTACTGTGACTTAGATTAATGTGTAATTTAATTGTTGATTTATGGTATGTTTTGTAGACTGTTTTTATATGTTGTACACCGCCGCGAGTCGCCCCAGGGCTGAGAGCGGCGGTCAACAAATGAAGTAAATAAATAAATAAATAAATAAATTGTGGGTCCCAGATACTTGCATTTAGTCCAGGTATGGCCTTGCAAATACAGGTAAGTAAAAACAATGCATTTACATGATACTTGGGCCAATCTAGACATAGCCTTCATGGGGAGAGGGAGCGAAATAGATCAGGACCTTGACCTGTAGGAAAATGGCTGCAGTCCTTATTCACACCCTTCATGCCCAATTGCTTAAAAAAAATTACGTTAAATGATACATACAATTAATGGGCATGGGCAATCCATGGTTCTAAAGTACTTGCAAAATTAGGGTGTGCTGGTGCTTTGCTTCTACAGTGTTGCTAAAGTTCTGGTGGTGAAAATTACAGAACTCTAACAAAACTTACAAAATTTTGTTATAAATGGCTGTTCTTAATTGGTTCTGTCATAAAAATCGCTAATAACAAAATAATAATGAAATTTTGAAAGTTTTGTTAGAGTTCTCAAATTTTCACCACCAGAACTTTAGCAACACTGTAGAAGCAAAGCACCAGTGCCCCCTAGTTTTGTAAGTACTTTAGAACCATGGATTGTCCATGCCTACTAACTAGTATCTATCTGTCCTTTGGACATTTTATCCCATCACTATCCTGAATCTTTAGAATCAGTTCCTCCTGTTTGTCCACTTTTGAGTCCCTACATAGCTCTACTCCCTTCCTGTCCTTACCAGACTCTATTTATGAAATAGTAGTGCCAGACTTCACAATTATGCAGGGCTGGTTAGTGTTTTAACTGGCCCTAGAAGTTCCTTCTGCATAGTCTATATCTTTGGAAAACAGACTTCATTTCTTGCTATTTGAATTAGGTAAATGTACTAATCTCTTTTGGTTCTATAGCAAACCAGTCAGAATATACATTTTTTCTTTCATTTACTTATTAAGGCTGAATATGATTTCAGACAACAGAGCAATTAATATTTAATTTGGGGAGTCCCTACATATTTCATGTACAAGCAGTCCCAGAATTACAAACATAAAACTTATAAACAACTTATAGTTAAGAACCGAGGTGAGACAGCAGGAAGTGAGAGAAATCTACCCCAGGAAAGAGTTATCATGGGGAATACGGGTCTCCACTGAAGCTTTCTCGCCATTGCTTGTTTCCTCAAGTCACATTTTTCAAAACTCGATCACAGGGACAGAAAGTGAGATGAAATCTTATGAACAGGGGCACAGACTCCAAAACAAATACCTCTTCCGTATGCTATTCAAAGCTTTTATTATATACTAGCTGTACACGCCACGCGTTGCTGTGGCCAACCTTCCCTCCCTTTCTTTCTCTCCTTCATTCCTTCTTTTTCTTTCCCTTTTCTTCTTCTCGGTTTCTTTTCTCGCTTCCTTTGCTCTTTGGTTCCACCCTTCCTTGTTTCTTTCCTTTCTTCCTTCCCTCATTCTTTCTCTTTTGTTCCTTCTCTCCTTCCTTCCCTTTCACTTTATTTCATTCTCTCCCTCCTTTCTCAACCTTTTTTCCTTCCTTCTCTCCTTCACTCTTTCTCTCCCTCCTTCTCTCCTCCCTTCCTTCTCTACCTTTCTTTCCTTTTCTCTCCTTCCCTCCTTCTTTCCCTTCCTGGATACGTGTTTGGGCGTGTATATGCATATACGTGTGTATATGTTTGTGTATATATATGTGGTTTTGCGTGTGCGTTGTAATGTTTTTTGGCATTTTAAGTCCCTTCTGCTGTGTTTTTATGAGTGGTGGTCACTCCTTGGCCTGAGAGGTGTCTTGTTTCCAAATTTGGTGTCAATTCGTCCAGTGGTTTTTGAGTTCTGTTAATCCCACAAACGAACATTACACTTTTATTTATATTGATATAGGAGCTCCACTTAAAAATGTACCTGTTCCAACTTAGCATACAAATTCAAACCTACAGAAACCTATTTTGTTCATAACTTGGGGACTGTTTGTGTATCGTTGATATGTAGAACAGGATGTCATCCAAATATCCCTGTAAAATGGGGTTTGTCCAAACCATGGTGAACACCTTACCAAATAAACAAAAGCCGAAATATCTCAATACCTCTGAGGCACACAGGCAAGAGTCTAAATTAGTTAAATCTGAGAGGAGACTGTGGTTTTGAATTTCCTGAATTCTAGCATACCTCGCCATTCCAGTTTTTAACTTTCACACCGAGAAGGCATTTCAAGCCAGCAACAAGCTGAGCTGCTTCTCATTAGTTCTCCTTCATTAGGTAGCCCATAGGCTGTGAAAAAGCGGCATCATCTTTCAAAATATATTGTGCGAGTCTAAGACAACAGCAGGCATGCTATTAACACAGCTATCCAAGGTGGAATGGGAAGAGCAAAACTGAATTCTTCTCTATTTTGAAGCACCCACTCTGTTCATCATGAGGATCTCCCCCCCTACAAATCCAGTGGGGAAGAAATTTCATACATCAGCAGCAAACTGACATAGATGAGGCCAATCATTGTTTCACCGGTGCCAGGAGATTGAAGAATGCTCTTGCTTTGGGACTGACATTTTTTTCAATGGAAGAGGTTCATAGAGAACTCTGGAAATTCCCTTTAGTATCAGTTCTTGGGAAATGAATTCGCTCTGCATCAGCACATGAGATGCTGAGCTAGGTAAAGGTTTCCCCTGACATTAATTCTAGTCGAGTCCGATTTTTGGGTGTGTGCTCGTCTCCATTTCTAAGCTGAAGAGCCAGCATTGTCCATAGATGCCTCCAAGGTCATATGGCTGGCATGACTGCATTCCTGCTGGAGTGGGACCTATTGATCTACTCACATTTGTATGTTTTCCAACTGCTAGTTTGGCAGGAGCTAAGGCTAACAGTGGGAGCTCACCCCATCCCGTGGATTCAAACCACCAAATCCGGTCAGCAAGTTCTGCAGCTGAGCGGTTTAACTCATTACACCACAGTGGGCTGCATTAGCTGCTAAGGGTGAGTTAGGACAGCACTCTAAGTGGTTTCTTATAACAAAATATCCCGTTACAAGTAGAATGAAGTGCTTTCCTAATAACATGCGCACCCTAACAGTGGAAAACTAGTTTCGGAGAAGAGAGTATACATAACTTTGAAAGTCATTAAGAGTCTTTAAACAGCGGTTTGTGGGAAAAGAAAACATTAACATGCTTGACTGTTTCAGCAATTTTATTCTGGGTGTGATGAGGACTTAAATTTTGTTGAAAGCAGCTACATCCATTGATTGTACGTAGTCTTCAAAAGCTGTAATCCTCTCTTCCAACATGTCAGTGCCAACTTTATCATCTTCAACCACACACTGAATTTGAAGCTTCTTGATTCCATAACCAACTGGAACTAGTTTGGCTTGAAACAAATTAGAAAAACGATTAGAAGTGATGTTCCACTCTTCCCATTTTTAAAAATATATTTCAATATGGTGCCCACTATGAATGGATGAGTGGATGCTGCCTGCTACAAGCTGGACTTCTGGTAGAGTCAAAGGCAGCAGATATATCTGTTTTTCTCTCGCTATAGGTGGGACAAAGTGGGCATGTTTTAATTGCCCTCACTAGAGTAAAATAAGAGGTCCTTCCAAGGAAATCTTTGGAAAAATCTCCATAGCTATGCTCCTACATTCCTATCTTTGGTCTATAAATGCCTTCCCGCCCCAACCTCCATCCTGGTATTTGCTGCCTTTTTCCTTTGAAAAAGTTTGGTAGAGGCTCCTTCTTTGGAAGCTTTTAAACAGAGGCTGGATGGTCATCTGTCGGGGGTGCTTTGAATGCAATTTTCCTGCTTCTTGGCAGGGAGTTGGACTAGATGGCCCATGAGGTCTCTTCCAACTCTATGATTCTAAGATGTCTATTTGAGAAGAACCAAAACTATCAATTCAAACTTAATGTATTTTTGAAGGCTTTCACAGCTGGAATCACCGGGATGTTGTGGAAACCACACAGCACCCCAATTCTAGCTTAGTTTCTTAAACGTTCCACAAGAGAGCCAATGAGATGGACAGTCCAGAAATTCCTTCCCTTGCAGGTATCTCACTGTCAAATGCAGATGTATAGTTGAGGAGTGAATGACAGAAGCCACTGGGATTCTGCATTTCATTCCAGTGTTGATGGAACTCCATCAAAACACAATTCTCAGCCAAATTCAGCGCAGAATAACGTAGCCATTTCCTTTATTCACAGGAATGGCTAAACAAGTTCCACTGTCTTGTGAAATTGAGACAAAGTGCCTCCACCATGTTTGTGAGATTTCAACTGAAAAATAATTTTTGCTCTGTCCCTCAACTATGATATGTCAAGCACCATCCCAATACTTACAAGATCCCCAAACCAGGCCATCAGCCTGGATGCTTCTGACACACTCCTCCAATTTGGCCATGTCTGTCTCATCATCCCATGGCTTCACATCCAACAAAAGGGATGACTTTGCTATGAGTGCTGGCTCTAGTAAAAACAATAACAAAGAATAGTTCACTGAAAACAGGACAGAGTATTCCAATAAAAACTAGGAACCCAATGAAAACAATATTGTTGAAAATGTCCATGTGGATTTGAGGTAAAGCATCTAAATGTCGACCATATTTCAGGACATTAGGAATGCAGCCTACTAGAATTAATGCTTAAGTACCCTTGAACTATAAACCTGTCTTAAATTACATTTTACTAGACCACACGTGTCAAACTCAAGGTCTATGAGACAAATCTGGCTCGCCATGTCACTGTATGTGGCCTTCCAGATGCCGAACTGCAATCCTGTGTTCCTCATCATTAGACATCATGACTAGAGCTGATGGGATACAGTAACATCTGGAAGGCTCCTGTTTGCTCTATTTAGTCAGGATAATGGGGTTTGAATTTAGATATAGGGCTTGTAGATATGTCTCACTTCAAAATGTCCTTCAACATTTCCCCAATAATGTCTAGGGACCCAAACTGGATAAAAATTAGAACATAGAGTCCACCTTTTTTAAAAAAAAATTATAGCTGCCCTTCTGTAATCATGGATTCTCCATCCATGGATTCAACGGCCCTTTGAAGGCAACCGTAATTATTATTTTATTATTGTTATTATTTACTATATTTATATACCGCATTTCTCACTTCTGGGGGGGGGGGGGGGAGACTCAAGATGGTTTACAACATACTAATGGCAAAAATTCAATGCCAACATACAGAACACAAAGAAATCATAATATCTAATTACTACATATAACTATTAACTTAAAATCAATTAAAACCATTTAAACATAAGACATACTGTATAAGCTCGAGTATAAGCCTAGTTTTTCAGATCTTTTTTTAGGCTGAAAAAGTCTCCCCCGGCTTATACTTGAGTCAATATTATTTATTATTCTACTTTGATGTTGTTATTATTACATTTATTATTTTATTGTTGTTATTATTACATTTATTGTTTTACTCAATTATTGTTAATGTTACATTTATTATTTTACTCTATTATTATTATTTTACTCAATTTATTATTATTGGAGGACATGTAAGCACATTTACATTGAAGAAGGTTAGAATAATGGTTTAATCAGAGTTGGACAGTCTTATCTTGAATTACAGTTTTATGTAAATATGCCTAAACTAATAACATTTTATTGGTATTAATATAAATCCTAATATAATTTTATTGGCTGCTGCATTTCTCACCCTCGGTTTATACTCGAGTCAATACATTTTTCCAGTTTTTTGTGGTAAAATTAGGTGCCTCGGGTTATATTCGGGTCGGCTTATACTTGAGTATATACGGTACATAAAATTTAAGAATTCAGACAAAACATAGAATCATTTTAGTATAAACATTAAAATCCCATGATCCAGAAATCATATACCAGAGCCACTCCGAACTGTCATTGCACATATTTCTTAATTATTCTTAAGGCTGATGTGGCCCTAGATAAAAATGAGCCTGACACCCCTGTACGAGACTATGAAAAGAAAAAAAAATGCAAGAGAGGCTTTTGTCCGTTACATGCCAATTATCTCCACCTATTTGAAAGGAGAATCAAAGACATGTAACTGCTGATCTCCCACAGCTGGAATACTGCAATTGCTACAATACTGAACAGTTGCAGGCCAGTAGCTGTGGAATCCTGCATGAATTACAACCAGAAGTCAGTATTTCACCATTAGCAGCAAAACATCACATCCGTTTCTCTACATTATGTTCTACTACTTTCATATCACTGCCAGTAAGTAGTACTGGTTAAAACTAGGACTTTAAACTTCAGATTGATTAAGAATCCACTTCTAACATATGCTAGCAGCAGTAGACAGCAGTAATGTGCACGACAAATTTAATTTACAATGCAGTAAATAATTACATTTCAAAGTGAGCCAATTTAAAGACCACCAAAGAGCAGATTAACATACTTTTGGATTTCTTTGATTCATACTGAGCAAGTCGCTCCTCTCTTAATCTTTTTGCTTCTTCGCTTTCCTGTAGGATAAGATATAGAATAGAATATATTAAAATAATACAAAGCAACTGGTTTCTGTATAAGGATTAACCAACTAGATCATTCAGAAAAAAACAAATCATCACATTTTCAGCCGAAAGATGGTGATTTGGTTTTGTTCATCATGTCACCAATGATGGTTTCGAAGAAAGCTGCTCTTGAAATTTGTCATTACAAATCCTGTCTCTCCAAACAGTCCCATTTCAAAATAGTGTGGAGTAGAACATATTCTACCATACTACTCCACTAAGCTCATGTTGCTATTTGCATAATCTCTGCAAGCAAAATTTAACAGAAAATGGATTTGAGGTACCTCCTCTTCATCTGAGCCAAAGAGATCAATGTCATCGTCGTCTTTGTTGTCTCCAGTGGCACCTGTTGTGTCTTCAACATCTGCAGGGCCGTATTTCCCCAAAGGCTTCTTCACTCCAGGCAAGCTAGAGAAAACACAGTACTTCATTATTTATAGGGCCCTCCTACTACATACACTCCACACTTAAATTGCAAGAGAGCAATCCCAGTTTTGCCAGTCAATTAACAAGAGATGCCACTTAACTATGCTGGCATTTCAGAGGAAAGATACCAGATGCCAGTTGCGAAGGCACCTGCTGCCCAGCAGGCTCCCTGCTATATGCATAAACACCGGGGACAAGGCATACATTTCAAGTAGAACAGACAGGAAGGAGGGGAGGGAGGGAAGGAGGAAGGGAGCAGAGTGCACAGCTCCAGACTTCAGCTTGTCTACAATCATAGAATCATAGAGTTGGAAGATTCCACTGCTGCATAGATCTCACAGACAGGAAGTTCCTCCTAATTTTCAGGTGGAATCTCCTTTCCTGTACTTTGAAGATATTGTTCCATGTCCTAGTCTCCAGGGCAGCAGAAAACAAGCTTGCTCCCTCCTCCCTATGACTTCCCCTCACATATTTATACATGGACATCATATCTTCTTTCAGCCTTCTCTTCTTCAGGCTAAACATGTCCAGCTCTTTAAGCCGTTCCTCATAAGGCTTGTTCTACAGACCCTTGATCATCTTTAGTCACCCTTCTCTGGACACATTCCAGCTTTTCAACGTCTCCCTTCAATTGCGGTGCCCAGAATTGGACTCAGTGTGATTTCAGCTGTGGTCTGAACAAGGCAGAATAGAGGGGTAGCATGACTTCCCTGGATCTAGGCACTAAACTTCCTCTATTTATACAGGCCAAAATCCCATTGGCTCTATAGCCACCACATCACATTGCTGGCCCATGTTTAACTTGTTGTCCACAAGGACTCCAAGATCTTTTTCACACAAATGTAAAGGCACACTACAATTAAGTAGTGCATTAGAAGGGAAAGATTCTAGATCAACCTTTGCCTGTTATGTTGCTTTTCTTTTTGGAAGAGAATAATTAACATCAGGGAACAAATCAATGAGATTAGTTCCTGAAAGTGCAAATAGGCCATTCTACCAAGTCAATGTATGGCATATAATAAATCAGGCCTACAACAAAATGTTTAATTATGCAATACCAATTTATTCCCTGACATATATAAAGTTATGAATAGTACAAATACTAATACTATCAATTTTTAATGGTTTAATAACTGGTCTGCCAGAAAACACATTATTCTCTAGTTAGTATGTTCATTTTTTTCATTTGCATCCTGTATTACTCAAAAGGAGATCAAAATCATGTACATGCCTTTCCCCACGTGGATTGACAGATAGCTTCACATCTAAGTGGGAATTTGAATCTGAAGGAGGCCCTGCATTGATAAAAGTAATGCTGTTTGACTTCAACTGCTATTGCTCAATGCTATGGAGCCCTGGGAGTTGTAGTTTGTCGGGGCACCAACATTGACAGAAAAAAAGCTAAAAGGAAATGTGGAGTTCTAGCCTTAAGCTCTACCCATTGGTATAGAGAGGAAGAAAATGAAGAATATTTTGGCACATTTAATGCTGACCAGATCTATTTTATCATGAACTCCTGTCGATAACTCCCGGCCCAGTGTATTTGTCCGAACGGATCTCCCTCTACATCCCACCTCGAAGTTTAAGATCTTCTGGGGAGGCCCTGCTCTCGACCCTGCCACTCTCACAAGTGAGGTTGGCGGGGACGAGGAGCAGGGCCTTCTCAGTGGTGGCCCCCCACCTGTGGAACTCACTCCCCGGGGAGATTAGATCGGCGACTTCCCTTCTGGCATTCAGGAAAAAACTGAAGACCTGGGTTTGGGACCAAGCCTTTGGACACACTGGCAACTAAATTAAGGATCTGACGATAGACAAGGACGAATGGAATGGATATATGGACTCTGAACTCGAGCATGAGATTGTTTTAATATTTTATTATGCATTGATGTTTTAATTTAACTGTTGAATTGCTTTTTTGTACTTTGTATTGCTGTCAATTGATTTAGGCATCTAATTGTGCCTCCTCTGTAAGCCGCCCTGAGTCCCCCCCCCCCCCCCGGGGTGAGAAGGGCGGGGTATAAGCAAATGAAATAAATAAATAAATAAATAATGCCACTATAATTTATAAGAGTACAATACGCAAGCTTTAGATAGATGAAGAAGGTAGCCATGTGATTTAGGATTACACTCATTGGTAAAATGAACATATCTATGACTCTCCCTAGTGGCCTCAAAATGGTGTACAAGGCTCTCTTCTTTCTTACTTTCCTCTGAATAACCCTCTGAAGTACGTCAGTTTGAGTGAGTGACTGGCCTTCTCTCAACCTAAAAAAAACACAACTCAAAGAGGACCAGGGTTTGGTTCTCCAAAACCTAGCCCAACCACCATTTGTAAGCAGGGATCTCTTATATCAAAGGTTCTTGGAACAACGGGCCTTTGCTTGCTGAGCTTCTTGAGTGGAGTGCAAAATATATTTTTCTTCATTTTCCTTCTTGATAGTTTGCAAACCTGAACATGAACATGCATACACAGCCAATTTAAATCAGTCAAAGTATATGTTTTAGGAAAGTTTCAAAATCTTGCCAGTTTTGAGAAATTTTACCAAGAACTAACTGCTCTCTACAAGTTCCCACAACTGAATGTCTTGGCACAAGTTTAGGATTTGCTTAGAAACTTCATAAATAAACTTGTCTAGTGCTAGTCATGTGGCTTTACATTCAAATGAGATACAGGAATAGCTCCACCTGGTGCTTTAAAGCACAAACTAGAACGCAACAGAGTTCATTACAAAGCCATGTAATTATTTTTCAGCATGGTTAATAGTTGAGCAGATTTTAGGTGGTGTGAAATGCTGAGGTGAACTCTCAGCCGCCTCTTGTATTGTGCTTATTGTTTAAGAACATAAACAAGAACTACTTTTACAATGTTAAATATAAAGGAGACACTGTATGTGAACTACTTTTCTTTAGAATAACATCAGTTTCCATAAACAGCCTTTGTTTTTAAAAAGAACAATAACATTCTTTGAAAAAGGAATATAGTGGCTTTCACAATCCTCCCTACAGAAAACCCTGACAGCCACCTTAGCTTTAGTTTTCAATATCAAGTTATTAAAGACATAGAACAGGTTGTGATTGGAACACTGACCAAACCAGCATAGCTGGTCCCTTCTGTTCCATACAGAAACAAGAAAAAGTCCAGAGCAGAGAAGACATAGCATTCACATAATATAGAGGTCTGATCTTCCACCAGCTCTCAATTGGCAAAAACAATTATTTTACTGCAGGCATAGCAAACTCCCACAATTCCTAACAGCCTAACTGCCTATGCCTAGTTTATTGGACAGTATGTTTTGCAGATGTATTTAAAATGTGGCAGTAAATACTTACCAGGCCTTTCTATGTCTTCAAATTTATTGGAGCCTGATTTAAGATGCCTAAATGTCTCTTCTTGTAAATTTCACATACATGAACACACAGAAATTGTGCATACATGGAAAATATATATCACATGCTAAAATCCACATTTGCTTGGTTGAGGGGTGAAGGACCCTTGCAATGCAGGAAAATCACAAATAAAGATACACTTTTTTCCCTAAGAGAATACTGTTTTAGAAATCCTGAGGTCATCTATCATGTTTCTGGTCAGCACTAATCACAGAGCCACATTTGAGAACTTAGAAATTCATAGAGATTATTTTCATCCAGTCTGAGAATCAAACCCACAAAAATCACAAATTCACAAATGTGGAGGGCTAACTGCATCTCATGAAACTTTAGAAACTTAACAGTGTTGAAATGTTAAAATGTAATTGATATTGTATTTATTATGCTGCAAACTGTTATAAAACAATGCCTTTAATGAAAAGGGGCCTTTTCTTTCCTTCACATTATTAACTGCTGTTGATAGTGTCTTTAATCTATCCAATCATTTAAAGTAAGTAAAATCTAAGGTAGTTTTTTGTGAGGTCTGGAACATATATAATAAACAGAACACACATAGGCCCCTTCCACACAGCTGAATAAAATTCCACATTTTCTGCTTTGAACTGGAAGTTATGGCAGTGTGGACTCATACAACCCAGTTTAAACCACATATTGTGGAATTTTCTGCCTTGATATTCTGGGTTATATTGCTTTGTAGAAGGGCCTATAGAAAACATAGAAATTTAAAGAAAACCAGTCCACCAAATTAGTCCTACCTTGCTTTTTGTTTTTCATACGATTTAATATGATTGTACCACCGGAGGGCATGGAAAAGCTCAGGGGGCGGAGAAACACCAACTGCTTCAAAGACTGCAACATCTGCCTGGGATGGGACATATCTACAAGAAAACAAATGTACTTTAGTATGATTTTTATTTAGCATGACAACACACAGCAAACCATTCAAGCTTTTATCCAAACAGTATCTACATTCCTTGACATTTCAGGAGGCACACTAGTGGTATGATACAATGATAGTGTAAATAAGTCTTTTGGCCTTTCTCAAAGTATCTTCTGTAATTCTAAACACCATAAAGCTATTCAAATTTTTAAAAGCTCTGTAATAAAGCACAATTTTGTTCTGGATGAGGACATGCACACCATACCTGAAGATTGGTGTTAGACTGGCTAGAGGTGATATGATCAACATCCCCAGTCCTGACCTAACCCCAAGGTAAAAACATCATTCCTTCTGAAGTACTTCCAAATTACTTGTCTTCTGTATTTTTCATACATGCTTTAGATCAGGGGTCCTCAAACTAAGGCCCAGGGGCCGGATACGGCCCTCCAAGGTCATTTACCCGGCCCTTGCTCATGCTCAACCTAAGTCTTAAACGACTTGAAAGCACACAACAATCCTATCTCATCAGCCAAAAGCAGGCCCACACTTCCCACTGAAATACTAATAAGTTTATATTTGTTAAAATTGTTTTTCATTTTAATTAATGTTTTGTTTTAAGTGGGGGTTTTTGCACCACAAATAAGGTATGTGCAGTGTACATAGGAATTCATTCATTTTTTTTTTCAAATTATAATCTGGCCCTCCAACAGTTTGAGGGACCTGGCCCTGTTTAAAAAGTTTGAGGACCCCTGCTTTAGATCATCTGGTTTGTTTTGTTTTTTGGATTACACTATGTAATTTTTTTCAAAAACCTGTTCTTGGTTTCTGTTTTGCTACTTTCTGTTTAACTCACTTTGAAAGTAGTTGTTATACTCCGGAAACTTTATTTTTGTGGCTGTTGCAAACTACATTGCATTATTCGGGACTCAATGAGATATTCATCGAAAAACTAGAGCAAAATGGTGCTGCAGGATGTCCACAAAAAAAAAAAAAAGGTTTTGGAGTTTAATAAACTTTCTCCATGTTTTTTATGGTAGACCCAATTAAGAAATAACATTTATAACCCAGGAACAAAAATCATGTTAGAGTGTTAATATTCCCAGATTTTCCTAGCCAGAGCATTTGGGGGATCTGGAAGCTGCAATCCAAAATAGTATTCCCAATTTGTGTTTCAATGAACAGATGGATTTTAATTAGAAATGAAGGCGACAAGGATGTACGTGCAAAACAAATTCTCCACTGGGTTGTTGTAGGTTTTTCCGGGCTATATGGCCATGTTCTGGAGGCAATTTTTCTCCTGACGTTTCGCCTGCATCTATGGCAAGCATCCATCCTACAACAACCCAGTGATTCCGGCCATGAAAGCCTTCGACAATACAAATTCTCCACTGCTTTCTATGGGTGAAAAGGACACCCTAAACAACATGATCATGAACAAATGTCCCAGGCAAACTCAGGAAATAAACCAATCTGGGCTACAAAGATCATGCAGTTTAATATGAGTTTGTTAACTGCTGTTAATGAGACTTTGACTTATGACCTAGGAATCGGCAACCAGCAAGTCACCCTCTTATTAGTAGTCCTCTTAAGGTCTTGTAGACTCAAAAGACTTTCTTGACTGAAGCGTAATGTGGCCTTCCTTTATTCCAGGCATGTTAGGAATTGTGGAAGTTGAAGTCCAAAACATCTGAAGGGCTGAAGTTTGTCCTGCCCTATTCCCACTGCATTCTATCTTCCCAAGCCTTATTGTCTCTTCTAGCAAGCCATGTCTTTTTATGTTCTATGTACCACAGCCCCAGTTTAGTCATCTTGGCTCCATGGGAGAGTTCAGGCTTGATTTGATCTAGGACTGACCTGTCTTTCTGGCAAATCCATTGTTCACAGAATTCTAAGAAAAACAAATCTGGGGTATATGGACCACTGGTCTGCGTGTCTGTCTTAATATGAGAATGTAATCCAAACCATTATGAAAAAAGGTATAACTACTAAATGCGAAGGGGGGGGGGGTAACTTGGAGGTCACCATCAGTGGAAGTCCACTTGGCAGCAGATAACAAAGGCCTTACCAAGACCCCGTCTACACTGCCATATAATCCAGTTTCTGAATCCAGATTATCTGCTTCGAACTGTATTATATGGCAATGTAGACTCATATAATCCAGGTCAAAGCAGATAATCTGGATTTAGAAATTAGATCATATGACAGTGTAGATCCAACCAAAGCAGCAGGAGGTACCTGATGCGAATAAGCACAAACCATGAACTCGTGAGAGGATTTTTGTTCCTGGGTTATAAATATCATTTCCTAATTGGTTCTATTATAAAAACATAGCTATTAAAATGCAAAACTTTGTTTTTGTGGGACATTCTACAGCACATTTGCAGAGTTTTTCAATACCTTGTAGTAGAGTTTCAACAAATTCAACATAGGGTTGTTGGAGGTTTTTTCGGGCCATGTTCACAACAACCCAACGATTCAAGCCATGAAAGCCTTCGACAATAAATTCAACATAGTTTGTGGCAGCCACAAAACTGAAGTTTCTGGAGTATAAGAATAACTTTTGTTAAACAGGAAGTAACACTTTCAAGGCCTTCGCAGAGAGATCAGTAAGGAAAAACCTGCTTTTGGCAATCTGAGGCCCTTCCACACAGTCATATAACCCAGAATATCAAGGCAGACAATCCACAATATCTGCTTTGAATTATATTATGAGTCCACACTGCAATATTATCCAGTTCAATGTGGATTTTACACATCTGTGTGGAAGGGACCTTAGGAAAAAAAACTAGTAACACAGCCTTGGGTCCCTTCTACGCTGCTATATAAAATCCTATTTCCTGCTTTGGATCGGATTAATGGGTAGTGTAGACCAGGGGTCCTCAAACTAAGGCCTGGGGGCCGGATGTGGCCCTCCAAGGTAATTTGCCCAGCCCTCGCTCTGGGTCAACCTAAATCTGAAATGACTTGAAAGCACACAACAACAACAATCCTATCTCATCAGCCAAAAGAAGGCCCACACTTCCCATTGAAATACTAATAAGTTTATATTTGCTAAAATTGTTCATTTTAATTATTGTATTTTTTAAAAGTGTTTTTGCACTACAAATAAGATATGCGCAGTACGCATAGGATTTCATTGATTTTTTTTTAAAATTATAATCCGGCCCTCCAATAGTTTGAGGGACTGTGACCTGGCCCTCTGATTAAAAAGATTGAGGACCCCTGGTGTAGACTGATAATTCAGTTCAAAGCAGATGTGAATTGTCTTTGATAATATTGGATTATATTGCAGTCTAGAAGGGGCCTTACTGTAGCCTTGGCCCCTTCCACACAGCTGTAGAAAATCCCACATTATCTGCTTTGAACTGGGATATATGGCAGTGTGGACTCAGATAATCCAGTTCAAAGCAGATATTGTGAGATGTCCTGCCTTGATATTCTGGGTTATATGGCTGCGTGGAAGGGCCCTCAGAGTGCCGGGCCCTCCCCAAACTACAGATGCCCGGATGCCGTAGGCTTGAGCCTTGGCGGTTGAAAGTGGGGCCGGGTGGCCTTTCTTCCTCGCTTCAAAGCCTCCCTGGAAGCGGGCGAGAGGCAGAAGGCGGCCAGCTCACCCCTCGATGTAGCTCTTGTCCGCTAAGAAGTTGTTGAGGAGCTGGAGGCCAGCGGGAGATTTCAAGTCCCCGAAGCCCATGGCGGCGAGAGAGAGACAGAAAGGAGACAACACGTTGTCGCCGCCGCCGCACGAAAAGGCCGTGCCTCTTTCCGGCGACGCTTATATAGTCTGCGCGTGACGTATCCTTCCGCCGCGGAAGACGATTTCTGAGGCACTCTTCCCAAGGTTCCGAGGCCACGCCCCCCTTTCGCGGCATCGGAATGTCTCCTTGACTTGCCCCCGCCCGGATGTGACGTCGGAGGAGCCGGAGATTGCCGAACTCGCCACGGAAATTGCCGAAGCCGCCGCCATATTGCCAGAGCGAAGCGGAGACCTTCGTGGGGAGGCGTTGTTTTGGGTCGTTGGGGCCGGTGCGGCCCCCGCCTGAAGAGGTAATGCGAGGGAGAAGGGCTGCCGGGCGGGCTGGGCTACACGACGCCGCTGCCCCTCACTCCTCTCTTGGGGTCGTTGGCACTGAGCAACGTGATGCCCTTGACGGGTCGACCGCATCTTTCTCTCTCAAGCGTCGTAGTTGGAAAGGCCCCCCCCCCCGCCCTTGGTGCAAAGTGGTATATCCCGTCAAGGCCAAGGGAGGCCCAATTCCCCCCATCACCCCTTCAATGGTTGAGTCCTCCCTTTTGTTACTGCCTGAATTGAAGGTGTTTAGCAGGTTTCCTTTTGGTCAGCTACTGGTCAAAGGACATCTAATATTTATTTATTTACTTTATTTGTATACCGCACTCTCTCAGCCCGTAGGCGACTCAGTGCGGTTTACAACCAAACCAATATACAAAGTGCACAACATTAGCAATTAAAACAGTATCTAAGGCAACTACATCAATATAACAATACATCAGGACATCAGTATAACATCAATACATCCATATAACTAATCCATCACGTCTCATCAGTAAAGTCATAATCCGATCTCCTCGTCATTATTCCAAGTTCCAAGAGCAATCAATTAATTGCACTGCTTAATTAAACGCCTGTTCAAAGAGCCAGGTCTTCACTCTTCTCCTGAACGCCAGCAGGGAGGGGGCTGATCTAATATCTGCGGGAAGGGCGTTCCACAGCCGAGGGGCCACCACTGAGAAGGCCCTGTCTCTCGTCCCTGGCGGGGTCGAGAGCAGGGCCTCCCCGGACGATCTTAATGTCCTAACTGGTTCATAGGGGGTGATGCGTTCGGACAGATAGGTCGGGCCAGAACCGTTTAGGGCTTTAAAGGCTAAAGCCAGCACTTTGAATTTGAATAGAATACCAAGTCTGCAAATTTTGTGTTTTGTTTGTTTTTAATGCAATATAACTGTTTTGGTTCGCTCCTGACACGTTAAATAAATAGATAAGCAAGTTTCCTGGGGGATCCACGTTTCCCAGGTGTATCACAACTATTTTATTTATTTATTTATTTATTATTCAAACTTATATCATATGCCGCCACTCCCCTGGGGCTCGGAGCGGCTTACAAGAATGGCTAAAATCTAACACAATTTAAAACAATTTAAACACAGCAGTATCAAAAAATCAAAGGCCTGCCAAAACAGGTATGTCTTCCATGCCCTGCGGAAAGCTGATAAGTCCCGCAAGGCATGGACTTCAGGTGGCAGAGTGTTCCAGAGTGATGGTGCCACTGCTGTAAAGGCTCTGCGTCTGGTTGCTGTTAGACGCAAGGTCTTGACACTGGGAATTTCCAATAGATCTTGGTCCTCAGAACGGAGGGATCTCTGGGGTTGGTAGGGGGTGAGGCGGTCCTTCAGATACATCAGCCCCAGACCATGCAAGGCCTTAAAGGTGAGTACCATCACTTTGACAGTGATCCGGTGCTCAATTGGTAACCAATGCGGCTGTAGTAAGATTGGTGTCATGTGGCATCTCATCGGAATTCCCGCAAGAAGCCGAGCAGCTGCATTTTGTACCAACTTCAGCTTCCGGATCACCGACAGAGGAAGGCCAATGTAGAGGGCATTACAGTAGTCCAGTCTTGAGATGACCGTGGCCTGGATCACCGTAGCTAGGTTGTCCCTGGACAGATAGGGGGCCAGCCATCTAGCCTGCCGCAGATGAAAAAAAGCGGTTCTGCTAACGGCGGAGACCTGGGCTTCCATCGTCAGCAGAGGGTCCAAAAGGACTCCCAGACTCTTCACCAGTGATGACGGGCGTAGCGCCTCGCCATCCAGGGTAGACAGCTGGATATCCCCACTGCCCGGTCGACCCAGCCATAGGATCTCCGTCTTATATTATTGTATTGTCCAAGGCTTTCATGGCCGGAATCACGGTTGTTGTAGGTTTTTTTGGCTATATGACCATGTTCTAGAGGCATTCTCTCCTGACGTTTCGCCTGCATCTATGGCAAGCATCCTCAGAGGTAGTGAGGTCTACCTCTGAGGATGCTTGCCACAACAACCCACTATTGTTCTCTATTGGAAGAAAGAGTACCAACGCAAGACCATTGTGAATAGGAGGCCAAGACCTGCAAGGTGTACAAAGAGGGCCAATGACTGGGGTACAGTCGCACCAGTTTGGCCTCTACATTGTCCTTATATGCCAGGATCGGATCCCAGGAGATGGGCCAAAACTAACAAAATGAAGTTCACACATGAACCCAATTTGTCCAAAGGGTCTGTCTGTTACATGGTCTTTCACCTCATTGAGCAAGCAATCAAAACATTATCTCATTCCCTTATATCCATTTATAATATTACAATGTAATGCAAAATAATAACAATATGATATTATAATTGTATATTTATATTACATGTAAAATTACTAATAATATTACGATATAGTGGTATGGTGCAATATAGCAATGTTTAATGCTGATATTGTACTATGCTAATAATATAATATATTGTATGTAATATATACCTTGTAAGCCTCTCTAAACTAAAATAATAAAGTGTCTGGAGAAAAAGCCCTATGAGGAGCAGCTTAAAGAGCTGGGCATGTTTAGCCTGAAGAATAGAAGGCTAAGAGGAGACATGATAGCCATGTATAAATATGTGAGAGGAAGTCACAGGGAGGAAGGAGCAAGCTTGTTTTCTGCTGCCCTGGAGACTAGGACGTGGAACAATGGCTGGCTTCAAACTACAAGAAAGGAGATTCCATCTGAACATTAGGAAGAACTTCCTGGCCGCAAGAGGTGTTCAGCAGTGAAACCCTCTGCTCCAGAGTTTGGTGGAGGCTCTTTCTTCGGAGGCTTTTAAACAGAGGCTGGATGGCCATCTGTCGGGGGTACTTTGAATGCGATTTTCCTGCTTCTTGGCAGGGGGTTGGACTAGATGACCAACGAGGTCTTTTCTAACTATGATTCTATGAGTTTATATGCTTTGAACTGGATTATATGAGTCTCCACTGCCAAGTAATCTGTATTTATATGTTTAGAATGTTTGTACCCTGCCTTTCTCTGTGGACTGAAGGCAGCTTACAACATAAAAACATACAAATTCCAACAGTTAAAATGTGTAAACAACAATAAAATCAAAACATACATCAGCTAGGTAAAGGTTGTCCCCTGATATTAAGTCCAGTTGTGTCTGACTCTGGGGGTTGCTGTTCTTCTCCATTTTTAAGCCGAAGAGCCAGCCTTGTCTGTAGACACCTCCAAGGTCATGTGGCCGGCATGACTGCATGGAATGCCGTTACCTTCCCGCCAGAGCGGTACCTATTGATCTACTCACATTTGCATGTTTTTGAATGAATACATCAACTAGAACAATAAAAATTATAATCTGTCATTGTCTCCACAGGAGACACCACTATTGTTTACAGGCTTAAAATTTTGACGTATCCCACTGTGTATCAATCAAAAGCTTTCTTGAATAGAAAGGTCCCTTTCCTAAAGTTAAGAAGGGATGGCGCCACTCTTAATTCTTCTGGGAGGGCATTCCAGAGAGCAGATGTTGCGCCAAAAATAATCCTTCTCTTGTAATGCGTAGCTGCATACTGGTAGGATCTTGTGTGGCAATGCATGTTTCCCCACTGAATCTTGGAAGCGTAGCCGGGATCTGCAGGAAACTGAAGTAGTATTTGGGGTCTTCTCCTCCTCCTCTTCCCCTTCCCACTTATAGGCACAGGAAGCTGTGCCTATAATCCCTGCAAATGTGGACAACGGTATTAGACCAAACAGCTAAACTTAGCCCCACTTCAGTAATATTTTATGTATGTTGTCCTGGCAAGGTTTGTGGATCTAGAAATCTATCTCTGGGATATTTGCTATTCATCTGAAATAATGGTATCCTATGGTAACTTCTTGAGGGACCCTGTGGCACAGTGGGTTAAACCACTGAGCTGCTGAACTTGCTGACTGAAAGGTCAGCAGTTCAAATCTGGGGAGCGGGGTAACCTAGCAGTTCAGAAACCTAGCAGTGCAAACCTAGCAGTTCAAAAACATGCAAATGTGAGTAGATCAATAGGTACCGTTCCGGCAGGAAGGAAATAGCACTCCATGCAGCCATGCTGGCCACATGACGTTGGAGGCGTTTACGGACAATGCCAGCTCTTCGGCTTAGAAATGGAGATGAGCACTATCCCCCAGAGTCGGACATGACTTAATGTCAAGGGGAAACTTTTACCTTTTATGGTAACTCCTATGGAATATTTCATGCTTACCAGCACTTGTCAGGTCATACACCATTAACACTTTTGCCATTATTTTTGTGAGGTGACAAATGTTGCTAAGAATTTTTTCCAACTTCCTGGGACAACAGAAATGCTCAGTGCAAATCTTAGCATTTGCAACATTCAAGTTTACTTTTTCTTGAATGTACTGTAATTAACTTCACCTGTTTATACATTCCTGTTATGGCTAAATCATGCTGCATTTTTTAAAACTTTTTGAGACAACAGAAATAATGAAATCTAATTTTATCTGTTTACATATTCCTGACAGTAAATGTGACTACGGTCAGTCCTGGAACATAGCAGAGTCTAAAGTGGTACAGATTATGTTGTAAGCTGCAAATGAAGAGAACATTGTAGTCAGTGGTTGATATGAGAGAATACAGTCAATCTTGACTATTACTACTTCAGGTTTTCTTTGGATTCTTAGAATGGTGACTTGGCTTTCCAGAAACACTGTATTTTGTGTAGCATCTTGTTTAAACAGTAGTAATAGTGTTTCCTGGAGTCACTGAGCAGTAAATCAATATAAAATGTCATGGTAAACATGTCTTGAAAGGGGTGACAGCAAAATTTCTCCTTCAAATAATAGACAGGAGCATTTTATGGAATATTATGTGAACATGGTGGTACAAAGTGACAGAAAGGTGAAATAATAATGCCGGAGCTAAACATTGCATGTATGGAGATGAGGGCAAGAAAGCCATTACACCTAAATTTTTAGGGTATAGGGTTACAGCCTGTGTTGGATGGGGTCGCACTCCCCCTGAAGACGCAGGTTCGCAGTTTGGGTGTGATCCTGGACTCATCGCTGAGCCTGGAACCCCAGGTTTCGGTGGTGACCAGGGGAGCATTCGCACAGTTAAAACTCGTGCGCCAACTGCGCCCGTACCTTGGGAAGTCTGACTTGGCCACGGTAGTCCACGCCCTGGTTACATCCCGTTTAGACTACTGCAACGCTCTCTACGTGGGGTTGCCTTTGAAGACGGCTCGGAAGCTCCAATTAGTCCAACGGTCGGCAGCCATGATACTAACAGGAGCGGAGCGCAGGGAGCATACAACTCCTTTGCTGCACCAGCTCCACTGGCTGCCGATTTGCTACCGGGCTCAATTCAAAGTGCTGGCGTTGGCCTTTAAAGCCCTAAACGGTTCTGGCCCAACCTACCTATCCGAACGTATCTCGGCCTATCAGCCCACCAGGACCCTAAGATCTTCTGGGGAGGCCTTGCTCTCTATCCCGCCTGCTTCACAGGTGCGGCTGGCGGGGACGAGAGACAGGGCCTTTTCTGTGGTGGCCCCTCGGCTCTGGAACGCCCTTCCCATGGAGGTAAGATCAGCCTCCTCGCTGATGGTATTTCGAAAAAGACTAAAAACTTGGATGTTCAAGCAGGCATTTGGTTAATTCGGTGCAATGAATGTGTCGACTACGGATTGGTAATATGGATGATGCAATTGGACCACGATTTTAGTTAGGAGATGTATTGGATTGTGATTTATGTGAAATATTGTGTATTATGTTTTTTACGGTTTTAATTGTATACTGTGTACTGTATATTCTGTTGTAAACCGCGTTGAGTCGCCAGTTAGGCTGAGAAACGGCGGTATACAAGGACAGTAAATAAATAAATAAATAAATAAATAATAATGATGAGAATGTTTGATGATATCTTCTTAACTTTGAGAGCTCCCTGAATCTCATCTTGGAGTTAAATGTGTACATTTATTTTCAGCATCATGTTGCGCCTTCCTGCTGTTCGCAAGGCCTTGGCAGGTGCCACTTACTCTGCTCAGGGATGTGGTAAGTTTACTCTTTTCCTAGAGCTTGTGTGTAATAAACCTCCTGCTCCACTGTTTTTTAAAATGTAACTTTCATTACTATGTTAGTGATTCACTAGTATTACCTTAACAACCATGAGGCTGATCATGGCAATCATTTGAATAATCTTTAATGTTGGAAACAAAATGGAATGAACTGTCAGATCAGGATCCAGGATTCCATTGGTTGATCATGTTAAAAAAAATAGGGAAATAGTAGCTCTTGTTTGTAACTTGGGGACTGCTTGTATGATGATAAGCTAAATCAGTAGAATGTTGCATTTCAGTTGACTGTTATCAAAACACTGATAGTTCCAAAACGTCTGTATCAAGATGACTGACAACATAAATATAAATTAAGATGAAGGGGTTTTTCAGAGGGAGGGGGTTGCAGTGTGAGTTTGGGCTGTTCACCTATTTCATTGTTAAAGTATATTGCTACCTAGTATCAATGAGTTTGAAATATGTAATGTGACTTGGAGCAATAAGTAATTATGTGTATTTTATTTCTGTTTCACTTAGTGCGCACAACAGCTACTGCAGCCAGCAACCTGATAGAGGTTTTTGTTGATGGACAGCCTGTGTTGGTACCACCAGGTACCACAGTACTTCAGGTAGAATGAATTCAAGCACTCGAATCCGTTTCTAACTCTTCCCAGATTTTTGCAGTAGTTCATTTGGCATCCTTTTAAGCATAGATGACTGTTTCTATCTTGGCAATGACTTGTTTCATTCTAAGCAATTAGTATGACAAAATGGAGGATTGTATGAAAAGAAGCTTTTTCGTGTATATAATTTTGTTCCCCACTTGAATGAAATTGTCATGATTATATTTTATCTAGCCAGGGGAGCTACGTTGCTGTTGTGTTTCTCAATACCTGTCAAAATTCACAGAATTATCACCTTTATATTTTGTTCTGGGTCTTTGTTTCCCCCTATACACTATTCTTATGGGATTTTATTGAGATATTAAGAACAGAACTCTTGGTGTTATGTGCAGAGGGTGCCTCTACTGTAAATTGCTTGCAACAGCTTGTGCCTCTCTTGCTGTATTACTGATGACTCATAATACTGCATTTGCAGTACTTCTGCCACTGTTAGCCTGCAGGGTGGAATGATTTTACACAGTGGTAGCCAGGCCTTTCAGAGCTGCATATTTATGGGCTAGTCACTGAACAAGAGATAGAATTGAGTTGCTGGGGACAAAGGAGGTAGCAGGAATGCAGCTTGTAGAGTGGCAGATGAGGCTAACACAAGTTTTTTACTTAGCAAAACTCCTTTTTGCCAAGTCAGCATGTATATTCATTATGCTAGAGTGAGCCAAAAATTCATGGGATGCCAGCGCCTAAGTCTCCTGGTCTACTGCATTGACCCACTTTCTGTTTTGCTGTATTATCTTGCAGTGCTGCTGATACTGGGAAATAGAAATGTTATCTGATGTTACAGAAGCACACAGACAGGGAAAATCCACTACTTCTCTACAAGTTATTTTACTTGAGTTAAGATTCTGTATATGATAGGACTCTGAAAAGTCTTTGGTTGGAAAAATTAATCAGTATAGCTCATACTTTTACTTCCACGTACTTTCATTATTCGAACTCTCCAGTGCCAGCTGTAGTATTCCTTAAGAGCATATTGGAGTTTTTCCTCTCATTTATTTCCAGCAGATTGTAGTTTTGTTTGGCAAACTGCACAAACAACATGTACTAAGGGAAGAACACCACAGATGGCTCTTAATTTTTTTTTGAATGGATGGCATTTGAATAGAAGGAAACTTCAAAACATGTGATTTAGCATACCCTCATTGTTTTCTTTTTCTTTTAGGCTTGTGAAAAGGTTGGGATGCAGATTCCCCGTTTTTGCTACCATGACCGATTGTCAGTGGCTGGAAACTGCAGAATGTGTCTCGTGGAGATAGAGAAGGCCCCCAAGGTGATTAAGTTATAAAATTGTGACAAAACATTGTTGTTTTGAAGTGTAGAGATCTGTAATTATGTGACATAACTAATTACAAACTTGTTGGCATGTAAATAAGAGCATTCATACATTAACTGCTTTGGGAAATGGTTATTTATATTGGGATTACTTAAATTATAATTATAATCCTTTATTACATCTTCTCTTACATATTCTGTATCCTTTCAAAAACACTGTCAGAAAGCTAGTGTGACCACAGCATTACTTTTCTTTGAGAAATATTATTTGACTGCTTGTTGAAAATATGTCAAAGATATATTGACTTAATCTCTTCAGTAGTTAATGGTGCAGGGAGGATTTTTTTTCATGAACATGCATTTTCATAAACAAAACAAGGTAGAAGCAAGTTGCCTCCAACCATGGTCCTCACAGCTACACAAACACGGTTTGCCCCTGCAACAAATATTCTACACTTACTAGAGGTTTCACTTAGCCATCATGATGTTGACAGACCTAGTTTATTTAATCTAGCTTTATTTAATAAAGCCTTCTTAGCTAGTAGCCATTGCCATGTTTTTAGTATTTCTATAACTTCTGAATTGTGTGATGATGTATGTTTCTGAAATATTGAATCCACCTATTTTTGCATGACCAACAACTTTAGTCTTAAGGGAATGGGAACAATATATCCAATCTCTTCCCATATTTTAACTGTTATGTATTTATAAATTGCATGGAATGCACTAAACACTGAACAGATATGTCAAGAAAACGATCCTGCCCACAGGCCTAACATCAGAGAGAAATAATACCAAAAGACAAAAGAATGCATATAGGAGAGAAGAGCTAATAGTGGAGTAGCTGCTTTATTATTAAGTAGTAGATGTGGTCCCACTTTTTATTTTAAGAGCCCTAACTGCTTTTGAGTTGTCATAGTCAAAATACCTCAGCCCTTGACCATTTTTAACCACTGCATTCTGCAACTTTCCCAGCACTTTGTTTTTACCGTGGCATGGTCAGAAATTTCCAACATGATACAAAGACAAAGGTCTCAATGTATTGTCTATGTAGAGTTTATAGGATAGGCCCATTTAAGTATTAATGCTGTGCCACTGTGGTTCATACACTTGCAAACTGTAATGGCTATCTCTTTCTAATGATTTTGTAGCCAGTAGCTGCTTGTGCCATGCCAGTGATGAAGGGTTGGAACATTCTGACAAATTCCGAGAAGTCCAGGAAAGCAAGGTAAGCCATATCCAATCATAAGGAACTTCCAATAAAGTCTTGAGCATATCTACTCAGAAGTGAGTTCGCTATGCCTTTGTTCCATGTCTTTAGCATCAGAATAGTTAGCCAATCAGGTATGTGTTCTCAATTTTGACAGTATTAAGGCAGTGGTTCCCAACCTGTGGGTCCCCAGATGTTTTGGCCTGGTAAACTGTCTGGGATTTCTGGGAGTTGTAGGCCAAAACACCCACCTGGGGACCCACATGTTGAGAACCACTGTTCTAAGGGAAAGAGAATATAAAACCATTCCTAAAACTTGTACTGTATTACTAATCATGTATGTTTGTTGCATGTTAAGTGCCAAATAGCTTGATACTTTTTTCTTGTTGACCTTTAACAGAGAAGGTGTAATGGAGTTCTTGTTGGCAAACCATCCATTGGATTGCCCCATCTGTGATCAGGGAGGGGAATGTGACCTTCAGGTAGAATATTTATTCTAGTATTTTTAGTGGTATTGAAAATGAAACTTTGATCCTCAGTCAGCCAATTAATGCATTGCTTACTTGTCACTAGGACCAGTCAATGATGTTTGGCAGTGACAGGAGCAGGTTCCTGGAAACCAAACGTGCGGTTGAAGACAAGAATCTTGGCCCACTAGTGAAAACAATCATGACCCGGTGTATACAGTGCACCCGGTGCATCAGGTAACTCCTCTTCTATCTCATACACCAGTCACATTGTATGCACTTTTATTGTATGGCTAAGAAAGTTCGCCACTCTGCCTTAGTATTATCGTATTTGTATGCAATTTATATCAGAGTATTTGTGTTGTTGACCTCTTGTTATTTGGGACACCTCATAGCATGCAGTGAAAGAACCCTACTCTGAACAGTAGAAAATGCTCGTGGTTGTGAACTATGAAAAATTAGATACAGAAGTATTACTGAATGTCATGGGATCTGTGCAGAGATTGTAAAAAGACAGAGTCGAGAACAATAGTGTTTCCTATCATATCCAACAAAAAATGGCTCAGTAATAAAATCTGTGCATTTTCCTCTTCTACAAATGCAATTCTCTCAAATATGGCTACTTATGATGGCGTGGACAAGTGCAGTGGAGTGCTTTTTACCCATGTGGTGCGTAGGATACACTTTCAGCTGAAAATCAACTTCAAAAGTGCCCAGAAGTCTACTTCTGATTTATATTTCCAAGCATCTTACTGTATTTTGTCTACAAAATAAGATATATGTGGATGTTAGTGTATTTATCCCAAATGTTAGTGTATTTATCCACAAGCGATTATAGTTGTCTTTTATTCAGTAACTGGGTCTGGACAAGTTGGTATCAATATAGGAGGCCTGTGTTACACATGCTACTTTTGGGTTTTCTGGTGGATTCAGAAGTTTCTCCTCTTGAAATGCACCAACTTCAAAAAAGTGCTATTTCAGGTATTACCAAAGTTATGTATTATTTTAACAGATTTGCAAGTGAGATCGCAGGAGTTGATGATCTAGGAACTACAGGCAGAGGGAATGAGATGCAAGTTGGCACCTACATTGAAAAAATGTTCATGTCTGAATTATCAGGCAACATTATTGATATTTGTCCAGTCGGTGCCCTTACCTCCAAGCCGTATGCCTTTACTGCTAGACCTTGGGAGACGAGGCAAGTATCTTCACACATTGTGTTAAATGCAGTCTTTTTTATATTGTTATTATTTTCCATATATGAATATTAATTGACGTTTTTTCTTCCCCCTTGGATCTTGGACAGCATTATATTCTTTTAGTTGTCTGGTCGATCACAAAGAAACCCAAAGTGAGCCAATTCATATGACTCCATATCTTTGGAGGATATATTCCTGAACTTGTTGTGGAAGCAGGAAACTTTACATAACAGCAAACCTTATTGAAATGAAAAATATCTGCTGGAGTTATCATAGTTGTCCCAGAGGATCTTGAAAATCCCTAGAGATCTTATCTATAGAAATTTGCTATGGCCTCCAACATTACTGTAATTTCTAGCAGGGACATACCATAGAATCATCCGGAGAAATTTCCTAAGAGAACGTGTGTCATATGTGGGTTAATGAAACCATAGGTGCTGGTATGGTAGGTACTGGGAGTCATACTATGTTTTACAAAAGGTGACAGTGGTTGCTACAACAGAGCAAGCAGTATTTGCTTGCTGTCAGTTTTATAGACAGCATGTCTTTCAGAGCTAAATACATCTTGCTTCATGGCAGATGGCCCATGACCACCTGCGATCCCATATAAGCTTTGTTCCCATTGGCTCTAGTTGTTCCTTTCTTGAAAACATGCCAGAGACTAGCAGCCAGAGGGTCAGGAACTTGCATCGGCCTTGAAATCAGTGTTCTAGATGAGTTAGACTCCAAGAATTCTGGGAGGCCTTTGATCCCAACTTCTGCAACGTTGGCATTTAGGAGATTCTTGTGCCAGTGTTAATATCCTTGAAATATCCTTGAGCCATGGGGAGAAGTGGGTAAGAAATAAAATTATTATTATTATTATTGAAAGGTGAACTCTTGTCTTTTTTTCTTTAGGAAGACTGAATCAATTGATGTTCTTGATGCTGTTGGGAGCAACATTGTGGTGAGCACTCGAACTGGAGAGGTGATGAGGATTTTGCCGAGACTCCATGAAGATATCAATGAAGAATGGATATCTGATAAGACAAGGTAACTGAACTCTTTGCATGTGACTTTGATACTGTATTAGTATGCAGTTGTAAGACATTATTTTGTCTTAGGGAGTTGATACATGTTTGAGAAATACTTCCCATGCATGCTTTTTTGAAGAGACAATGTACTGCTGTTTTCTCTTAAAAACACTGAGCTGTGCATAATATTCAGTAGTATAAATCTTAACCCTTTTTCTGTTTGTATAGTGGGATACTGGCTGTATTTGAACATAATACTATAAAGCTCATCTGTCACAATAAATGATAAATATTAGGAGGGGGCTAACGTTAAAAGTAAATGAAGCAGGCAGTGTTAGGTGCATTCATATTTCAGCTGTTATTTATCTCATTAGCTTGGTCTGCACACTTTGCACAGATTTGCTTATGATGGCCTGAAACGACAACGTCTCATTCAGCCAATGATAAAAAATGAAGAAGGACTATTCACTTATGCCTCTTGGGAAGATGCTTTGAGCCGCGTGGCAGGAGTGGTAAGAACACTTGCTTCTAGCAAATTGGTTACCCAAAGCCAAGTAGTTTAATGGGCTACTTTTAACTGTTTCTGAACCCTATAAGAAACAAAAGACATTGGTAGAGTAGTTCCCTTCTCCTCTGCATCTCCCCTTTCATACGCCCATCTGTTCCAGAAGGTTGGGGTGTTCTCCTCAACAGATACGGGAGGAGAGTTCAGTTTAAACCAGATGTCCTCAAACTTTTTAAACAGAGGGCCAGTTCACAGACCCTCAAACTGTTGGAGGGCCGGATTATCATTTGAAAAAAACATGAATTTCTATGCACACTGTACATATTTTATTTGTAGTGCAAAAAATCACTTTAAAACAATACAATAATTAAAATGAAGAACAATTTTAACAAATATATACACTTATTAGTATTTCAATGGGAAGTGTGGGCCTGCTTTTGGCTGATGAGATAGGATCGTTGTTGTTATGTGCTTTCAAGTCGTTTCAGACTTGGGTTGATCCTGAGTGAGGGCTGGGTAAATGACCTTGGAGGGCTGTATCCGGCCCCCGATCAAACAATCAATAAAATCAATTATTTTTTAATGGCTCTTATAATTTTGTAAACTGTTGTTTCCCTGAACCAAATGCTTGTTAAGTCAGTGATTAGCTGCATTGTAGACTGAGTTTTCTCAAAAGCATTGTGGATCATGAGAATTCCATTATTTATTTATTTATAACATTTCTACCCCGCCTTTCTTACCCCAGAGGGGACTCAAGGCGGCTTTATATGCAGGCAATGATCTGATGCCTTAAAACACAATGTACACTTAAATAAATATTAAAATAAAAATTAAAAATACATTAAAAGCAATTAAAACATTTAAAAACAATACATTCAGAGTTAAACACATAATCCACGAACATAATCTGGGCTGCTCTAATGGTCATTGTTCCAAGTCTATCTATTGCACAAGTTTTCTAAAGGCTTGGTCACAAAGCCACATTTTCACTCTCTTGCGGAAGGTCAGGAGGGAGGAGGTTGATCTAATATTCCTGGGGAAGGAGTTCCACAGCTGAGGGGCCGCCACTGAGAAGGCCCTGTTTCTTGTCTCTGCCAATTGCGCCTGTGAGGGAGGCGGGACCGAGAGCAGGGCATCCCCAGAAGATCTTAAACACTGTGGTGGTTCATAGAGGAAGATACGTTTGGACAGATAAGTTGGACCAGAACAGTATTCTATTTTACATTTCAGAAGCAGCATTGGTTTTCTGTTACACAATCATTGTTATTACAAAATAAATGTGGTGCCATTTCTACTGAGACAACCACTTTAGCTTATGTTTTGTATTTCTAAATCAAGTAGGAAATTAGTTGGTTTTATTAGATTATTGCATAAAATGTATTATCACCTCTTGGCATATTTTCCTTTATTCTAGTTACAAGGCAGCCAAGGGAATGACATAGCTGCAATTGCAGGAGGCTTGGTGGATGCAGAAGCACTGGTGTCTCTCAAAGACTTGCTGAATAGAGTTAACTCTGATAACTTGTGCACAGAAGAGGTTTTCCCTACCGCTGGAGCTGGGTAAGATAATGCACACAACCTTGTAGGAAAGGACTGCAAAAACTGCAGACCACCTTCAAGTTGGCTAGTGTGCTTTGACACTAATGTAGAAATAGATGCATATTCTTGCAGTGCTTTCCAGCTGTGGGTTTCTACGCTGCTCCATACAAAATATTTTATGCAAAGTATTATGGTAGATTGAACGCAGTTATGAAAAATATTAATTGAAGGCATAATGTCAGAGTTGTTACAGAACATAATTGAAAAGCTCATATTCAAAAGGATCATTTTTCCCCAGGGGAATTAGCTTTTAAAATGCCAAATGTAATTCACTGTGCGTCCTGATCCCAAATGGGGTCTCCTTAGCTCAATGTTGTGGGTCACAAAAATTTTGGCAGCTGTAAACGGTTTCTGAATGCCACCCATTTACACAAATCTGTTAGCAACAGCGTACAGTGTTTACAGTGGACTCTGCAGAAGATGCTTCAGCTGTACTTTAATAAAAAAGAGAATCGGTCTTATTAGCAAGTCTTCCAAAAGCTGATTTGTTATCAATAAATGTTTGGTTTTTATACCTATTTTTTATACCTACATACCTAGAGTCACAAAAACATTTCTCAGACGGAAAGGAGTTATGGGTGGAAAAAGTTTAAGAAACTCTGGTTTAATCCGTAAAATGAGTCATATGACCCAAGGCAAAAAGTCCTAATTGTATGATGGGATCTATTCTGACAGTGACTAATTAAAGAGAATTTGGGATTACACATGATAGTTCAATGGAAATGGCAACCTCATGTGATGATGCTATGAAAAATGTCAAATTCCATGTTGAAGATCTATATTATACTTTTAGTCAAACCAATAGTGCAGCTTGCATTTTGGAATACTGTGTACATGTTCTGCTCACATAGTTTTAATACCATGTTTTATAAGATTGCTTTTATTTTACCTTTTAAACTATTTGTTTAATAGTCCTAAATTTTAAATGGTTTATAGGGCAGAAAAATTACCATCAGAATAAGTGAAAGATTACATTGTTTGGAGCTCTTTAGCTTTGAAGAAAAATAAGTAATGGGACATATATACAAGAGTAAAGCTTCCAAATGATGTAGATAGCAGATAAGGAAGACCATTATCTTTTTCATAGTACTAGAAACCTCAGTGATGATAAATAGTGGGAGACTGATGATAGGACAGCTACCGTCTTTAAAGATGAGCATGAGTTTTGATCAATGAGTAGAGATTTGAATCCTGTCCTTCCAAAGTCCTTGTCCAACACTCAAACCAATTTACACCATGCTGGCTCTAAACACATGACAAGTGCAGATTCTACTATGAACAGATAATAACTGACTATTAGGTTATCACTGGTAACTACTCATAATGGTCATACAGGTAGTCCCAAAGTTATGAACGAGATAGGTTCTGTAGGTTTGTTATTCATCTGAATTTGCTTATAAGTCAGAACAGGTACATTTCTTAAGTGTAACTCCAGACACAGGCCCACACACACACACACACACAAACTTTGGATAGCATAGGGACAGATTAACACCCCTGTGGTGTTTGTTTATTTTGCTGTCACTTCACTTTCTGTCCCTGTGATAATTGGATTTCGAAAAAAATCGCTAGTTGTGGAAACAAGAATTGGTGATAAAGCTTCAGCAAGACACCTTTCCTCCATGATAATAACTCTTACAGGAGTGAATTTCCCTTTCGGAAGCATAAGTGGGTACTGCTGTACTCATGTAGTTATTTGATTCAGTTCTCTCTCTCTCTCTCTCTCTCTCTCTCTCTCTCTATATATATATATATATATATATATATATATATATAATATTCCCTTTTAGTTTATTTTTCTGCTAGTGACAGCTAGAGTTTTGAACTGAATTGATTAAATTTAGAGTCTTGATACGTAGCATTCCTTTTATTTTGGTCTTAAACTCTTTGCTTAATCTTAACATTTCTTGAAAGGGCTGCATTGCAGTATTTCATGTTGTAGCACCATGTGTCATTGATTCTTTTCCCCTGCAGAACAGATCTGCGATCTAACTACCTGCTTAATACCAAGATTGCAGGAGTAGAAGAGGCTGATGTCCTACTTCTAGTTGGCACAAATCCACGCTTTGAGGCACCATTATTCAATGCAAGAATCCGAAAGAGGTTTGTAGTTCCATGATATTAGAGGAAAGTAGCTTACCTTTACAGATGAGAACCTGCACACTGAGAGGCCACAATGGAATAGCACATGTATACTTTTACCAATGAGCATATTTATTTAATAAATTCCATTTAATTGCAGCTTTATATAAACAAATAGAAAAACTGATTTGATTCAGGCTTAGCATTATGTTGTCCATGGTTATATCAGTCTCCACATATTTGTCTAGTTCAGTAGAAACACTGAAGGAACTGTTATCAAAAGGGAAGGGAATAGTTTTGTCATGCTGCATTTAATAATTTTTGATACAAGTCAAAAGTTGTGCCTTACTTTTGATAAAAAATAACCTTTTCTCAGTAGAGTGACAAAAAAGCCTTTTTGAATCCAGGCAATGAAAAAGGAGGATCATGTTAAAATCCATGGTTTGGGCCCCCAACACCACCCATATATTGCCATATATATATGTATGTATGTATGTATGACAGAAATTCAGGCGGGAATTCAGTCCCAGGACACAGAATTGCTATATATATATATATATAGAGAGAGAGAGAGAGAGAGAGAGAGAGCAATCCTGTGTCCTGGGACTGAATTCCCGCCTGAATTTCTGTCATATTGCCTACTATATGAGTCCCCCTAGGGGTGAGAAAAGCGGTATATAAATACTGTAAATAAATAATAAATACTAAGCCGTTTTCTCCAAATCTGATCAGCTTCACATCTATGTTTGTTGCAGCATAAGGAGCTGCTTTATCATAGAATCATATTTTTTTGTGTCAAGAGCGACTTGAGAAACTTGAAGTTGCTTCTGATGTAAGAGAATTGGCCGTCTGCAAGGACATTGCCCAGGGGATGCCAGGATGTGTTACCATCCTGTGGGAGGCTTCTCTCATGTCCCCACATGATAGAATCATATAGAGTTGGAATAAACCATGTGCCATCTAGTCCAACCTCCTGCCATGCAGCAAAAGCACAATCAAAGTATCCCTGACAGAAGGCCATCCAGCCTCTGTTACAGTTTCCTCAGCTTACTCTGAGGGAGAAGGAGGCCAAGCCTTGAATGTGCTTGGATGTCATCCGTGTACTTCTACCTATACTTATATGTTACGTTCAGCAACTTGAGGAGAGCTGCCAAACAATAAGATCAAGCACAGATTTGCCTGTGCAGTAGAAAACTCTGCCTTCTAATAATCTGTCCCTCATTTTCAGCTGGCTGCACAACGAGCTTCAAGTGGCCCTTGTGGGCACTCAGGTTGACCTGACATACACCTATGATCACCTAGGAGACTCCCCACAGATACTCCTGGACATTGCTTCTGAAAAACATCCTTTTAGCAAGGTACCTTAACCAAACTTCAATGCTTTTAATATTTTCCTGGAACATAGTTTTGTCAGCCCACTGTGCTAACTGTGAAATCTCCTCTCGTTCCATCAACCACAGGTTTTGAAGCAAGCTAAAAAGCCAATGGTGGTGGTTGGCAGTGCAGCACTTCAGCGTAGCGATGGTGCTGCTCTTCATGCAGCCATTTCTGCCATTGCCCAAAATGCTAGGACACAAAGTGGAGTTGGCGCTGATTGGAAAGTCATGAACATTCTTCACAGGTATGTCTGAAGTTTGATATCTACCATCTTTCCTTCCAAACAGTTGGCATGAAGACCCTTAATGCAAATGTGTTGGCTATAGCCATACAGATCAAGAGTAAAACAAGCTGTTGTTTTAAAAAAAATATGAAATCATTATTTTAAAAATGTTTTCATAGAGCAGTATTGTAGCATATAATATTGGCACCTGGAAGTCATGTGTGCTTGCATTCTGAGAGAAGTATAACGCTATTTTCAGAATTGACTATGAATACAGTACAGCCCTTTATCCATGGGGAATACGTTTGGACTTACCAGTTAGTGAAAGTGATGGATAACAGAAAACCCCGTTGAACAAATGACTTCTGGTGGATGTTTACCATAGGGTCATGCTGAAAGACATAGGAAATGTCTAGAGAGGACACATGTTGTCAAATATAGGTAAATGAAATGGTAACTTGTCCTATGTATATGTGTGTCTTACTGTACATTAACTCCAGATTTATACAGGAAAAGGTAACTCCTATTTCTCACAAATGAGGCCTTCCTTACTTCACTTCAAAATGTCAAAAAGTGTGATCCACTATTCTGTTTTCGACTCACAGATGAATTCTTTTGCTAGACCACACATCTGCCGGATACCTGGAAGTCTCACAACTCTTTTTATCCCATTTTACACAGTACCCCAACTCTCTTCAGAGTATTTTTAGGGGTTTGCTGAAGGGAGAGATGTGTAAGTTTGAATCTAGCCCAACTTGTTTGCATGTATTTCTATATAGGGCAAAGGTTAGAATGATATGAATACCCCCTCCCTCCTAATGTAGCTGGACTGCAGTTTCAGTATTCTTCCAATTGATTGTACTGGTGGTACAAACATGTTGTTCTGAAAGTTATTGAGGAAACCTATCTCTTTTCAGAGTTGCAAGCCAAGTAGCTGCTCTTGATCTTGGTTACAAACCCGGTGTAGATGCAATCCGGAAGAACCCTCCCAAAGTGCTCTATTTCTTAGGGGCAGATGCAGGTTGTATCACCCGTCAGGATTTACCCAAGAATTGTTTCATCATTTATCAAGGTAAATAGCATATCAATAATGTAGTATTGATACCATACTAGAACTATCTGCACACCTACCTATCCCTAAAATATCCATCCTATTTCCCTTGGACATGCCCAGAATTTTTAAATTTTAATCCTTACATTTGGCCCTGCCACAGGTTTTTAAAATGCGTCATGTCATTATTGTATTGTTTTGCTTTGTTGTGAGTTATTTATTGTTGTTTTGTTGTTGTTATGTTTTATGATGTATTTGGGCTCAGCCTCTTGTAAGCCGCACCGAGTCCTGTGGGAGATGGTAGCGGGGTATAAATAAAGGTTTATTATTATTATTATTATTATTATTATTATTATTATTATTTGCTTGTGAAGTAAGAAATCAAGTGTTAGGATAAACACACTGAACTAATAAGTGCATGGACTTTAGATCTGAAGTTCATATTTGATGCAAATTTTCCTTTCTTGCTTGGGTTACCTATCCCCTTTTCTACTGTCAATTTTTTATCAGTCCTTATAATAATAATAATAATAATAATAATAATAATAATAATAATCCTTTATTTGTACCCTGCTACCATCTCCCGCAGGACTCAGTGTGGCTTACAGGAGGCCGAGCCCAAACTACATCATTAACAAAAACACAACAGACAACAATACAATGCAACAATAAATAAGCAAACTATAAAACAATAACAAAAGCAATAACAAAATATGTCTCTTTGTACTTCGAATAGTTTTATCAAACTATTAAATAAAAAGCCATTCAACTTGGGCGCATTGAAAAGCCTTACCAATGGGATAATTATGACTGTTAATTGTCTGGGTCAGACATAACTGATGAAAGTGAGTTGAACTAAAAGCATAAATTTCATATCCAAGCATAGTAAGAGTTGCCGAAACGCCCCCCCCCCCCCCCCCCCCCCCCCCCCCCGGTTTAAACAGCTCTACTGGCTGCCGATAATTTTGCGGTCTCAATTCACGATGCAGATTATCACCTACAAAGCCCTAAATGGTTCGGGACCTGCCTATCTTCGTGACCGCATCTTCCCCTACAAACCTGCGGAATCTCGAAAATCTTCTGGGCCTTCCTTTGGCTTCCACTCCCATCACAAGCACCGTTGGTGGGGATGAGAGAGGGGGGCTTTTTGGTGGTGCCCCCCCCCATGCTATGGAAAACTCTCCCCAGGGAAATTAGATTGGCATGCACCTTGTCCACTTTTTTGTGAAGAACTACAAACGAATGTTCAACTGTGCCTTTGATTAAGCAGTTCACAAGTTAACTTTGGCCCTCTGACCATAACTCAATGTCTTGCCCTTGCACTTTCCTACTGCTTGCCCTATAGACATTTCATATTGCCCTCCTAGTCCTAACTTGTCACCTGGCCCCTGCACTTTATCCATCAGCCCTGTCCTTGCAACTGAATTGCACCATCCTGCCCGCCCAAGCTCAGTATTGTTTACCATGTCAGGCTATTGGTTGTTTGTTTGATTGTGGTTTTATGTTGTTTTATAAATTTTACTGTGTTATATTTTAACTATATTTCACTGGGCATGTCCTCATGTAAGCTATCCCAAGTCCCTTTGGGGAGAAGGGTTAGTGAGAGAGGCCTGAAATTGGTCAGTTGGCTAGCAGAGATAGCTAGTGAGAAGATTTTTTTTACAGCTATTAGGGAAATAGCTGGTGGAGGAGTGAAGAGATAGATCCAGGATAGGACTATCTGTGCTGGTCTTTTGAATTGCTTTCAGAGAGGAAGTCCTGTCAGTAACTTCTGTGGAGGCAAAGAGAAATGTTCATGTGTAACTAAGTCTGAACTGCTTAAAATAACTACACGCTTTTAAGTGAATATTTTAAAACAGCTAGGCTTTATACCTAAATTGTTCCAGTTCTCTTAAATAAACATCATTGTTTTGTTTTTCACAACATCTGCCTCACGTGTGCCTCTGCGGGTGAAGTTTTAAAAGCAGTTTCCTGCAGCAATCAAGAGTCTATGGTAGTAGCGTATATTTTAAAGAATAATATTTTAGTGTTACCTCAGAAACACAAGCCTGAGGGCTAATCCAACGCACTCTTGCCTAAGATACTTCAAGTAATCCAAGGGTTTATCAGTGCTTTTAAGTTTGGTGGTGGCCAGAGGGTTTTCAAAAGGTTTTTTTGGCCAGAAGAAAGTTTCAGCTTAGTGCGGCTTTTGTTTTTGGGCTTTTACACACAGAAGCCTCACATTCCATTGGTGGGATTTATTCCTCAATAATTCCTCAATCCATTATACTGGTAAATAAAGTAAATAAATAAATAGAAAGGTGATAGGTTGTGATCTTCTGGACCTTGGAAATAACTGAATAGTTCTGAACATAATCTCTGCCCCCATTTCTTTAATGCAAGGTATATACAGCAGTTTATAGACTTAATGCTACCTGTGACTTGCTGTGAACTTGCTCATCAATACTGATGCTTCTTTGTAATCATTTATTTTCCAGGGCACCATGGTGACATAGGAGCTCCTATGGCTGATGTTATTCTTCCAGGAGCGGCTTATACAGAAAAAGCAGCAACCTATGTGAACACGGAAGGTAGAGCTCAGCAAACCAGAGTAGCAGTAACAGCTCCTGGGATGGCAAGAGAAGACTGGAGGATTATTAGAGCCATCTCTGAGGTACTGCAAGTATACCAGAAATGGCAATTTCTAACTGCATTGATATACTACTTTCCCCACAGGCATTTAAGCTTGCTCAATCTGTAAAACTAAAACTTCAAAAAGACAAAAAATAGTTGTTACAAATAGTGATGCCTCTTATAAGAGCTCATGGCATAAGCTCCCTGGTTCAAGCTTCTTGTTCCCTTTCGATGTAAAATGAGGAGGGGAAGTGGGCAACATTGGCTCAGGACCTGGGCTTCTCTTCTTAAATGTATGAGAGTTCACTGAATGCAGATAAAAATTTCCAAGAATATAGACCCAGATTTTGGTAGTGATAAGTCTTATGAGACTTGGAGTGTGGAATCTGATAAATGCTGCCCAAAAGCAGTGTGTGGGCTATATGATGAAATGCATGTTTGAATTGGGAGTCCCTGGAGAAGGCTGGTAGCAGACTGCGAGCTTTGCTTTCCTGTTGGAATATAATTAGTATATATTGTGTGCTGCTATTACAGTATTTGGAGCTACGTATCTTCACTCCACATTGTTTGCACAATATAAATATAGCAGGTATGTCAAATGTTGCCCTTTTTATTGTATTAGGGTTAATCGGATTTTCTCTTTCTCTACATTGTTGTCTTTTGTCACCTTATAACTACTTCTTCCATTAAGTGAGAAACATTTTGAATGATTGAATTTAATTCTCTCACGATTTTAAAAGGAATATATCTTTATTTTGCCCTCCTTCCCTTACCTGTTTCAGCTGGCTGGTATGACTCTCCCTTATGATAACTTGGATGAAATAAGGAACAGATTAGAAGAAGTGTCTCCAAATTTAGTTAGATACGATGATGTGGAGGAAGCTAATTACTTTAACCAAGCAAATGAGCTGTCCAAGGTAAAATGATCTTTAACTGTGTATGTATGTATGTATGTATGTAAACGTATATAATCAATGTACTATATTATTAATGAAAATAACAAGCAACTGCTCCATTCTTTCTTCACCATCAGCTTTATTGCAGTTAAAACTATTTCTAGTGATATTTTTCATATAAAACTTGAGTTACAAAAACATATCATACGTCTTCTATGTGGAATATTTCTACCTTAGATTGATATAAAATGTAATTTTAACCAAAACATTGAAATTACATACACAGTTCCATTGGGAGATAGGCAGTGATTGATATATTTGACATTCTTTTTTCAACTCCAGGCAGTGAATCAGAAATTGCTTGCTGATCCTCTTGTTCCACCCCAGATCACAGTTAAAGATTTCTATATGACAGGTAATAGCAGTGATTCTTATATGATGTTAAGTAAAACTTGCTTTCTGTGTAATTCTTAAAGGCATAATTATTTCTTCTTAACCTATTCCTCGGTGGCGCAGTGGGTTAAACTACTGAGCTGCTGAGCTTATTTATTTATTTATTTACATTAATTTCCTGCCCTTCTCAACACCGAAAGGGGACTATGGGCAACAATTCAATGTCATATATTAATACATTGCTGACCGAAAGGTTGGTGGTTTGAATCCAGGGAGCGGGGTGAGCTCCTGCTGATAGCCCCAGCTTCTGCCAACCTAGCAATTCGAAAACATGCAAACGTGAGTAGATCAGTAAGTACCGCTTCAGCAGGAAGGTAACAGCGCACCATGCAGTCATGCTGGCCACATGACCTTGGAGGCATCTATGAGCAACGCTGGCTCTTCAGCTTAGAAATGGAGATGAGCACCATCCCCCAGAGTCAGACATGACTAGACTTAAATGTCAAGGGGAAACCTTTACCTTTACTTTTAACCTAGTAAGGCTGTCCATTTGTTTCCCTGCTGAATAAAATAATCTTCCCTGCTCATCGACATGCTATTGACTGCATATAATAAACTTCTGGCTTAAAATGTTCAGCTTTAACAAATATTTTCTTTTTTTCCAGATCCTATTAGCAGAGCATCACAGACAATGGCTAAATGTGTGAAAGCTGTTACAGAGGGTGCCAAAGCAATTGAAGAACCCTCCATCTGCTAAAAATGAAATTCTGCCACCAGAGTGTATCAGGCACAGTTATGACTAATTTTGGGAGAGGAAAAGAAGCATTTTTAGTTTGTTTAGGTTCTTATTTTATGAATGCAAGTGAGAGTTTATTTAAGGCCGCCCGTCAAGTGTGCATTTGGTAATTATGTTCGGCACAATTTATCTTGTTGAGACATGTATACTGATTATGGATAAACATGATGTAAAATTAAAACAGTTTTAATATGCAAAACTTCTTATGCTATTCGATTCAATACATTCAATTCATGAAATTTCCCAAAACTAAGATAGCAGACTTTTGACATAAGTAAAAACAACTTGAACAACATGTGAAATTCTATACTATTAAGCCATAGTAATATCATCATATTTTCTAATAAAGAAATTCTTGAAAAATAAGTGAGATCTATGAGGCCTTACAGCAGCTTCAATATTCTTTTTGAACCAAAATAGTACTTTCTGTCAGACTTTACAGTTTTAACAGATGCATATCAAGCTTTGAAATTATGGAAAATGTCTGTTCGTAATCTGAAATGCTTTTTAAATTAAAAATACATCTTTTATAAGTGAAGATAAAGAGTCTTGAAACTTCCCCAAATAACCAAACCGAATCTAAAGTTAATCAAAAACCGATTTGTAACCTTTTTGATACTAATGTTGGATCAAGTGGTCCCTGCTCAAAAAAAGGTTGGGAATCACTGCACTAAACATTGAAGAAATGGCTTTTGCTAAAACTCAATGTTTCAAGAATGTGATCCATAGAACTAGTGGTAAAATGTAGAGCATCGGACATACAAGTAGTTTGTATTGTCGAAGGCTTTCATGTCCAGAATCACTGGGTTGTTGTAGGTTTTTTCGGGCTATATGGCCATGGTCTAGAGGCATTCTCTCCTGATGTTTTGCCTGCATCTATGGCAAGCATCCTCAGAGGTAGTGAGGTCTGTTGGAACTAGGAAAATGGGTTTATATATCTGTGGAATGACCAGGGTGGGACAAAGGACTCTTGTCTGTTGGAGCTAGGTGTGAATGTTTCAACTGACCACCTTGATTAGCATTTGAGGATGCTTGCCATAGATGCAGCGAAATGTCAGGAGAGAATGCCTCTAGAACATGGCCATATAGCCCAAAAAAACCTACAACAACCCATACAAGTAGTTATTTATTGTTTTCTACAAGAAAGGCTGGAATCAAAAGTTTTTATGTTTTATGCTTCTAAACATTAATGTCACCCTTCCTACCAAGCTGTCCTTTATGCTACAAATGCCATTTCATATAGTTTTGCAGCAGCAACTTGAAGAATGACTGGAAGTGAGCTGGTATATCTATAGCCAACTTGGCAAATCTGCTGAGTTAATTTTTAATAGGATGTCCCCATTACTTCAACTGTTTCTGAATTTGCAAAAATCTTTGTGATATGGGAGCCTCAGCATCAAATTTCCAGTGTCTGAGGGGAAAACTGACAGTTCCACGTTTTGACACTGCAATATTACAGTTGCATTTTCAAATGGTTAAAAAAAGGGACTGTAAATTTAGTATCTGTTACATTGCAAGAAGGGAAGCCAGCCTTCTCTAATCTGATTATTTTGCTTTTGACACAACTCCTATCTAGAGTTAACATTTGATCTTTCATTTGGTTTCTAGAAAGATGTTTTCCTGAAAAAAACCAGTAACAAGAGAGAGAACGAGTTGTGTTATGTACTATTCATATACTGTTCAAAACATACCAAACAGCTGCACAGTTCTGTTACTGTCGACCTATATTTGCCATATCACTGCCTCATGTCATGCGGCGGCAAAAAAAGCCAATGGGATTTTGACCTACATAAATAGGAGTCAAGTACCTAGATCCAGGGAAGTCATGCTACCCCTCTATGTTGCCTTGGTTAGACCACAGCTGAAATACTGTGTCCAGTTCTGGCCACCACAATTGAAGGGAGATATTGACAAGTTGGAATGTGTCTAGAGGGCGGTGACTAAAATGATCAAAGGTCTGGAGAACAAGCCCTATGAGGAGCAGATAAAAGAGCTGGCCATGTTTAGCCTGCAGAAGAGAAGGCTGAGAGGAGACTTGATGAGGGCCATGTATAAATCTATGAGGGGAAGTCATAGGGAGGAGGGAGCAAGCTTGTTTTCTGCTGCCCTGGAGGCTAGGGCGTGAAACAATGGCTTCAAACTACAAGAAAGGAGATTCCACCTGACCATGAGGAAGAACTTCCTAACTGTGAGAGCTGTTCAGCAGTGGAACTCTCTGCCCTGGAGTGTGATGGAGGCTCCTTCTTAGGAGGCTTTTAAACAGAGGCTGGATGCCCATCTGTTGGGGTGCTTTAAATGTGATTTTCCTTCTTCTTGGCAGGGGGTTGGACTGGATAGCCCACTAGGTCTCTTCCAACTCTGATTCTATTATTTATGTAACAATGGTTGATTGCTAACTGCAGTTAGGTTGTCTTCAGACTTCTCAGCATGTCCATTGAACATCCTGTCACCAACAATCTTGCTCAGGTCTCCTTGAGTATCCCCTGTAAATATCTCTTTTCCTACTGTGTTTAATCTTGCCAAGGATCATTGTCTTTTATAGTTAATCATATCTTCTCGTGATATCTCAAGAGTATCACAGTTTGATTATCTTGGCTTCAAAAGAGAGTTTAGGCTTGATTTGACTTTTTATTTGCAATTCCAAGTTCTGTCTCCTTTTACTTTTGCTTTTTATGTGTCCCTTAGAGCCTAGATTTTGATCTGTCACTTGGGGTGCATCTATACTGGAGAATTAATGCAGTTTGATATTAGTTGAACTGCCATGGCTCAATGCTATGGAATCATTGGAGTTGTAGTTTTATAAAGCTTTCCTGTCCAAAGAGTGCTGATGACTCATCAAACTACAAATCGCAGTATTCCATAGCATTAAGCCAGAGCAATTAAAGTGATGTCAAATAACATTAATTCCACAATGCAAATGAACCCATAATGGGGTTTTTCTTTCTTAATATATGAAAGTGGCTCTCTACATTATAATGAAGTATTTCCTCCACCTTCCTAATAACACAACCATTTAATCTTTTCTCAGTATAGAAAATGGATGCTTCCCTTCTGTTCTCCATTCCTATTATGACAATTCTTCCGATCCATGCTATAATTCTGAACAAAGCCCTCCTTTAATACAAATTGCATATAGAAGTCACGTGCACAGGGATTACGATGAATCCCATCTGTAGTTCATGTGTGTGTCTGTCTGTGTGTGTGTGTGTGTATGTTGAGAAATAGAAAAAGTTATAAAACAGCATTTTTTTATTTAATCATTATACCTATATATAAAGTATGTAGGCCTAAGAGTAGGGCCATTTCTACCAATCTACAATTAAGACCTACAACATTGGAATGAATATGTTGGCAATAAGGTAGCTAGACCTTGGGCAGTAACTTTTAAACTGTACAAAGTAAACCATTAGAATATGTAGTATTAGGAGAGTAGAACTCCATAAGCCAAGAAGAAATTCCATGCATCAAGTTTAGAAAATGCTTTAGATTCAGTTCAGTCTCTGAGATAAGAGCTTCTAACAATTCTGCAGAAACTTTCTTGGGAAAAACTCTCATTGAACTAATTGGGAATTCTGCCATTGAATATTTACGGGAAGATTTTTTTTAGATGTCTGCTGAGAAATAAGTCCCAATGAGTTCAATGGGAGAATCTACAGAAGATAAAATACCTTTATTCCTAACCATTTGGTCATGATAGTCTATGAAAAATATGTTCTGACAGTGGATAACATACTTCAAATGGATTAATTTTGTAAATGTATGTGTAGGTATATATAAAAAAAATGTGAGTGCATGACAATCATGCAGGCAACATTCCCCATGCTTTAAAGCACATGTGTCAAATGCAAGGCTTGTGGGCTGAATCCTGCCGGCCATGTCATTTTATGTAGAAAGGCTTTCAGCGTCATGTATACATGTATACAGTCTTATAATCACAAATGGCCCTTTGAAGGCAACCAGAGGCTGATGTGGTCCTTGGTGAAAATGAGTTTGAAACCCCTGCTCTAAAGCAACCTGTATGATTGCACTTTTCCTTTTTATAAGCAAATCCAGTCTTTCCTCCACTTTTGCAGATTTCATTATTTGATTAATATCTCTAGGTCCTCCAGGGCAGTTTTGTGGTCAGCTTCTGGTTGCATCATTTAAAGCGTTGGAATTTTTTCTGGTGGATTTTTTAGTTCAACTTTTTCTGGAAAATTCTCACCACTTGATAGTAAGCATGTTTATCAACAAGAATGAACAAGGTTTTATTTCAGGTGATTATGTACAATGGAAATATCTTAAGATCTCATAGCTAAAATGGATAGGAAACTACTGGGTTTCAGGCTTGACTCCCACAGTCTTTCACTCTTGCCATGGCTCCTCCTTCACTAACTCTAGCACTGTCCACACATGATACTATTTTAACATGTTTTCTTTCAAAAACTGTTAACTCAAGGGAGCTACAAATCAAAACATATATAAATAAAAACACAATGCAATTAATCTATAGAATAAAACCATTTAAAACACATACAGTACATTTGCACAGCTGTGACCTGGCAACAGCAAGCCATGCTTTGAGTGTATTTGGACTATTTCACTACATGCTATGCATACAATCAGTTCTTGCAACAAGCTAGAATTCTAAAAAATGCTGGTTTGTGGATCAGCTAATGTTTTGGTACATGCCTGATGATTTAATTAAGTAGGGAAGCAAATAGCTAAACCACAAAGGAATAGTCTGTGACTTATTTACATGCTTCAGCTACATGTAAGAATGAGTGGCTGGGTAACATTCACCAAGATGATGCTTTTGCTGGATAAGCCAGAATAACTCCATAACACTGGCTTATCATGATGTGTAAATACAGCAGGCACTGAGCATCAAATAAACAATGTTGCCCAGTTATTGTTGTTTTTGTCATTATTTGTACCTAGCCAGGAGCTTGAACAGGAATTTCTTCCAGGAAGTAACAGAGCCATTATATTATTGTATTGTTAAAGGCTTTCATGGCTGGAATCACTGGGTTGTTGTAGTTTTTTTCAGCCTATATGGCCATGTTCTAGAGGCATTCTCTCGTGACGTTTTGCCTGCATCTATGGCAAGCATCCTCAGAGGTTGTGGGGTCTGTTGCCATAGATGCAGGCCAAATGTTGGGACAGAATGCCTCATATTGAACATAGGCGCCATATAGCTCGATTTCACTTGAAAGAAAC